AAATAAAATAAAATAAATCTTAAAGGGCCTGGCGCGATAGCCTAATGGCTAAATCCTCACTTTATATGTACCGGGATTCCATATAGGTGCTAGTTCAAGTCCCAGCTGCTCCACTTCCCATCCAGCTCCCTGCCTGTAGCCTGGGACCCTGTACCTGTGTTGGAGACATGGAAAAGGCTCCTGGTTCCTGGCTTTGAGTCGGCTCAGGTCTGGCTGTTGCAGCCACTTGGGGAGTGAACCAGTGGACAGAAACTCTTTCTGTGTCTCCTTTTCTCTGTAAAAAAAAAGTCTTTCCAATAAAGATAAAATAAATCTTTTTTTAAAAGATTTATTTATTTTTATTACAAAGTCAGATATACAGAGAGGAGGAGAGACAGAGAGGAAGATCTTCCGTCCGATGATTCACTCCCCAAGTGAGCCGCAATGGCCGATGCTATGCCAGTCCAAAGCCAGGAGCCAGGAACCTCTTCTGGGTCTCCCACGTGGGTGCAGGGTCCCAAGGCTTTGGACTGTCCTCAACTGCTTTCCCAGACCACAAGCAGGGAGCTGGATGGGAAGTGGGGCTGCCAGGATTAGAACCAGCGCCCATATGGGATCCCGGGGCGTTCAAGGTGAGGACTTTAGCCACTAGGCCACGTCACTGGGCCCAAAATAAATCTTTTTAAAGATGTTTTAAAGATGTATTTATTTTTATTGGAAAGGCAGATTTACAGAGAGAAGAGACAGAAAGATATTCCACCTCCTGATTCACTCCTCAAGTGGCCAGAATGGCCAGTGCTTAGCTGATCCAAAGCCTGGAGCCAGGAGTTTTTTCTGAGTCTCCCATGTAGGTACAGGGTCCCAAGGTCATCCTCTGCTGCTCTCTTAGGTCACAAACAGGGAGCTGAATAGCAAGTGGAGCAGCTGAGACACAAACCTATGCCCATATGCGATCCTGGTAGATGGAAGGACAGGACTTAGCCTCTAAGCCATCATACACATCCCCAAAATTAACAAATCTTTTTTTTAAATGCCATATAACTGAATAACTATAGGATTGTGAGATGGTATAGTACTTAGAAGTAGAAGTAGAGTTAGAAATAAAAAATATTAATAGGCATAATTTAAAAATACGCCTAAAATTTAAAAAATACAGCATGTACATTATTCTTTTTATATTTTATTGATTTATTTAAAAGGCAAAGTGACACTTATTTGAAATGAAAGGTAGGGAGGGAGAGAGAGAGACAGACACACACGCAGACAGGGAGGGAGGAAATGAGGAAACGAGAGGGTGAGAGGGAGGGAGAGAGACAGAGAGAGTTTTTCAATCTGTTAGTATACCCTTTAAATGTCCATAACAAGCAGAACTCAAAAGGAGTCAGGAACTGCAGCTGGGTCTCCCATGTGGATGGCAGGAACCCAAACACTGGGCTATCACCTGCTGCCTCCCCATGTACATAAGCAGGAAACTGGGTCAGAAGCACAGGCAAAGCTTTATTCCATGCACTCTGATATAAGATGCATGCATCTCAAGTGGCAGCTATAGACACATTCATTAGCAGGCTCTAAATTGCACCTATGCTACAATTAAAACAATATGACAATTACTTATCTATTTGGACATGAACCTAGATGAAAATTTCATGGACTGATGTTGACAAAGTTAGGTATAATAGTGGTGCATATTTGTCTGTAGACAACTTTGGAAAGTACCTGTAGGTTTTTGAGTGCTGGGATAAGTGGTGGCCCAGACAAGCCAAGAGTACTAGAGAGGGGAGATGGGAGTGGGGCAGAGAAGAAGTAATGAAAAAGCAGATGGACAAGTGAGAGCCATATGAAAAACAAACTAGATACAAGGCAACCTTCCTGCAAAATATAAGATCAATACATATATATGTAAGCATGCATATACATATATTCGTCCAGAGGAACTGTATAATGGAGGCAAGTATACCTTGAAGTGGACATACATTGCAGCTCAGCTCTGGCTATTGAGGCTATTTGGGGAGTGAATCAGCTTCTAAATAAAAGATGGACTCCCAATGAAACTCTTAAATATATGACACTAGAATGCTGGACTTTATACCATTCTCTATACTTACAATGTCAGGATACACTTAAATAAAAGAATGATGGACTTGGGACTGTTGATGAAGGACTAAATTATTGCTGCAGAATAGGGGAAAATAGTGGGGTATGGAAGAGGAAATCCCTGAGCCTAAGGAACTGTATCGTAAAAAACAAAGACTTGTTTTTGGGGGGTGCCTAGAAGAATTTTGGGGGTCCTGGCATAGTACCTTGTGGCTAAAGTCCTTGCCTTGCATGTGCTGGGATCCTATATGAGTGCTGGTTTGTATCCTGAATGCTCCACTTCCCATCCAGTTCCCTGTTGGGAAAGCAGTCAAAGACAGCCCAAAGCCTTGGGACCCTACACCTGCATGGGGGGCTCAGAAGAAGCTCCTGGCTTCAGATCATCCTAGCTCCGTCTGTTGGGGCCACTTCGGGAGTGAACCAGCAGATGTAGGATCTTTCTCTGTCTTCTTATGTCTGTAAATCTACCTTTCCAATTTAAAAAAAGTGAATAAATCCTAAAAAACTTTTAAAATATATATATTTTGGGCCCGGCGCGGTGGTGCAAGTGGTTAAGGTCCTCACCTTGCACGCCCGGGATCCCATATGGGCGCCGGTTCTAATCCCGGCAGTCCCGCTTCCCTTCCAGCTCCCTGCCTGTGGCCTGGGAAAGCAGTCAAGGACAGCCCAAAGCTTTGGGACCCTGCACCCGCGTGGGAGACCCGCAAGAGGCTCCTGGCTTTGGACTGGCATAGCATCGGCCATTGCGGCTCACTTGGGGAGTGAATCATCGGATGAAAGATCTTCCTCTCTGTCTCTCCTCTCTGTATATCCGCCTTTCCAATGAAAAAAAAATAATAAAAATAAATCTTTCAAAAATATATATATATATATTTAAAAAAACAAATAGAAAAAAAAACTGGATTGAATTGATGGTTCAAGTGGTTAATCTTTCTGCAAGTGCTGGCATTGCATAAGGGCACTGGCTCATGTTCAGGCTGCTCCGTTCCTGATCTAGATCCCTGCTTGTGGATGTTCTAAATTCTTGGAACTCTGTGCCCATGTGGGAAACTTGGAAGAGGTCCCTGGGTCCTGGCTTAGGATTGGCTCAGCTCTAGCTACTGTGGCGATTTGGGGAGTGAATCAGCCAATGGAAGAGATCTCTCTCCTTCTCTCTGTAAATCTGCCTTTCCAATAAAAATAAGTAAATAAATTATTTTAAAAACTGTATTGAACTCATTGCAAATTAATTTCCATATAGCTCTTCAGTGATACAGCAATTATATAAACTGAGGGTTGTCCAGAAGAGACCAGGAAGCCAGACAAACATATGGAAGGTACATTTTAAGGAAATGGCCAGGGTTAAGGGAAGACACAAGGACCTGGCCTTAAATTCATTTTTTATTTTTTAATGGTTTATCTATTATTTTGGAAAGCCAGAATTATAGAAACAACGAGAGACAGAAAAAAAGATCTTCCATCCACTAATTCACTTTCTAAGTGGACACAACAGGCGGAGTTGAGCCCATCCAAAGCCAGGAACCAGGAGCTTCTTCCAGTTCTCCCATGTGGGTGCAGGGTCCTCCACTGTTTTTCCCAGGCCACAAGCAGAGAGCTGGATGGGAAGTGGAGCAGCCAGGACACAAACCAGCACCCATATGGTATGCTGCTGCATGCAAGGTGACGATTTAGCCACTAGACTACCACACCAGGCCCCTGGCCTTAGTTTTTGAGCCTGCTCCCACTGTATGATTCCGGCTATTGATCCTTCTTTTTTTGTTATTATAATTTTATGATACAGTTCAATAGGCCCTGGGATTTCCCTTACCTCTCCCCATGTTTCCCCCTCCCATACTGAGTTCCCTTATATTATTACTATATTATAGTTCTTCATAAACAGTCATATGTCCATCATGGCAGGCATGGACAATGGCAGCGAGTCCAGCATCCTATTGTCAAGAAATAGTTAACAGTTTCATTGGAAGTCCATCTATGATCTGGAAGTAGAGCTGCATACTGCATTGTATCCTCACATCTCAATATGTTAGTCTCCATTACACAGTTACTATACATCCCCTTAAATGAAAAGCCACAATACAAAGTCAGCAACAGGAAGAAAAATAGGAATTTACAATGCCATGAAGTTAAATAACATGCTGCTAGATATGACAGCCTCCATTACACAGTTATTGTATATCCCCTTAAATGAAAGCCATAAAAAATCAACAGTAAGAGAGGAAGAAATTAAAAATGCCAACATGCCACTGCATGATTAATGTGTCGCTGAAGAAATGAAAAAGAAAATCAAGAACCTTTCTGAAGAAAATAATGCTAGTGTATCACTATTTATCCTGCTAACCTCACTGAATCAGTTTCATTTTTCTCTTTTATCAAAGTTTACTTATTCTAAGCTTAAAAGTTAATTGCTCACTTTAGAACCTTTGCTACTCACACGTGTTTCCCCAGGAAAATTGCATTTCCAATGCAGTTACTTGCTCTGTGTGAGTCAGAGGCTACTGGACCCTTGATAATTGTTAGTGAGGAAGGCCTGAGTGCTGTACCTCACAGTGGAAGCAACCAGAAGGGAGAGGAAGAGCTAGTGGGCAGCTTGCTTGTTCTAGTCCCCAACCCCGTCCTCGGCTTGCCTTGCAGCGAGAATCACCTATGTTGCAATCGGTAAGAAATAAGAGAGGCCTCAATTGAAGGCTTCATTTAAAATAAACAACAAAACGAAAGAAAAAAAAAACCCCAAGACAAACAAACAAAAAACCTCAAAAGTATATGGATGAGAGCAGTCTGAGCTCAAGCCAATAGCCCTGAGGTTGGCAGCAGAAATGGTATGGAGTGGAGAGGTTTGCTCCTTGGAAACGTAGCATCACTGCGGTTAATTTTGCTTCTGTTACCCCAGTTGCAGCCATTCCAGGGCTTTCCCCAGCCCAATTCCTCACCTGCATCTTTCTCTTCACAGTGTCAAAGGGAAAGGAGAGGGTCTGTGTCACCATGGCAGCCAGGCACACATTGGCAAAGTTCTGGAGGACTGAGAACCGATCACGAGGTCCATTCCAAATTTTCTCCAAGTTCATGTAGACCAGAAGGGAGCCAGCAGAGAATGGGAGAGCACCTGCAAAGCAAGACTGGAAGATAATAGTGATGCCTTTGGGAAAACACTGGCAGGACAACATAAATGTCTGCAGTAGATGCCAGGGCTAATGAGGAGGGCTTCTGGGCTGGCACCTGAAGGAGCATGAGGGAACTGTGGAGAATGATAAGGTGCTGTAGTTTGATAGGCATCTTGTCCTTTGTCAAAATGTACTAGATGGTTCTCTAAATGTGTGTATACTTTATGTACATTATTTTAAAAAGAATCATGAACAAATACTGAATTCTAGTGACACACATGCTGAAGGGTTTAGGGATAAAGCATATTAATGTGAACAACCCACACTGACATCCTCATCTAAAAAATCATGGACTGGGGACTGGTGCAATAGCCTAGTGGCTAAATCCTTGCCTTGCATCCACCAGGATACCCCATGGGCACCAGTTCTTGTCCTGGCTACTCCACTTTGCACCCAGCTCCTTGCCTGTGGCCTGGGAAAGCAGTTGAGTTTGACCCAAACCCTTGGGATCCTGCACCCATGTGGGATACCCAGAAGAAATTCCTGGCTCCTGGCTTCAGATTGGCTCAGCTCTGGCTGTTGTGGCCACTTGGGCAATGACCCAGCAGAAGATCTTTCTCCATCTTTCCTCTTCTCTGTAAATCTTTCTAATAAAAATAAGAATAAATATCTACGAAAAAATGTCTGATGAATAGCTAGAGTAATGAACAGATGGATAAATACAGCACAAAGCAAAATGTTAATTGTAGCATCAAATTGGGGTGTGTGTGTGTTTATAATTCTTTTAACTTTCCTAAAGCTGGAAAAAATTTCATTTATGAAAAGTTAATGAGAAATATTTAAGCAGCTTGTAAGGACTGGGAGGGACAGTTTTGTAACTAAGAATACATTTTTTTTTTAAAAACTGGGCACTGAGAGACATTCAGTGGTGAGGGAAGTTACCTGACTTTGCCTTGGAGAATGACACAGCCATGCAGCCAACGAGTGTCTTATACTGTGTACTTTCCCTCCCCTCCTGGTAACTAAGACATTGAGCACATAATGTAGTAGCTTGTACTTTTATAAACTTCCAGAAACTTTAGGGACCATCTTCATTTTACAGATGGACTAAACTTGTCCCTCAAAATGTTATTTAAAAGGGGGATAACACATGCAGGATTGCTTAGAAAAATAAAATGCAGTCACATTTTGGTCAATGACAGATCACAAATATGACAACAATTACATTCTACAGTAATAGAACTGAAATATTCCTATCCTATAGTGACACCACAGTACATTATCCAGATATTTGTAGAGATGCTGGTGTATACAAGTCTGCAATTGCCAGTCAGATGAAAATACTAAATATGCAATTTTAAGCACAGCACGGTATGTGATAATGATAAATACTATGTTACTGGTTGATATATTTTAATAGTTATTTTTGAATCTAAATGTTCATGACAGCAAAATGTTAACTATAGCATCTATCTATAGTAAGTATATTGGTGCTTAACTTACAAAAAAATTTACTGTGCCATGTTATGCCAGTAACTGTATCATACATCTTGTGTTTATTATGTTTCATGATTTCATCAAGAGGTCACATAAAGGGACCAGCATTGTGGTACGGTGAATTAAGCTACAAAATATAATGTTGGCATCCATATTGGAGTGCCAGTTTGAGTCCCAGCTGCTCCACTTCTGATCCAGAATTCCTGTTAAAGAGCTTGGGAAAGCAGCAGAAGATAGCTAGACTACTTGGGTTTCTGTCACCTAAGCATGAGACTGAGAATTCTTGGCTCCTGGCTTTTTTGGCCTGGGACAGACTTGGCTATTGTGGCCATTTGGCAAAAAAGGCAATATATGGAAGATCTCTTTCTCTGTACCTCCCCCGTCTCTGTCACTGTGCCTTCAAATAAATAATAAATCTTTTTTTTAAGTGCATGTGAGATAAGCCCCTACATTGTTGGGAGACACCTCAATGGCAGTATGATGGACTTCTGAGGGCACTGGGAAGACACCTATTGAAAGCCTGGAGAGGAGAACAATGGGAGTAGGGTGGGGAGAGGGAGGGGAATCCCCAATGCCTATTAAACAGTGTCATAGAATAAAGAATTAAAAAAAGCAGTACATGTCGCATGACTGACCTACATCATCTGGGTTTGTGTAAGCATGCTTGATGTTGGTACAGTGATGACATTGTTTAGTAATGGACCTGTCTGCATCACTAAGCAATGAATGACTATAACTATGTCTTTTTTTTTTAAAGATTTATTTATTTATTGGAAAGTCAGATATACAGAGAGGAGCAGAGAGAGAGAGGAAGATCTTCCATCCGATGATTCACTCCCCAAGTGAGCACAATGGCTGGTATTGTGCTGATCCGAAGCCAGGAGCCAGGAACTTCTTCCGGGTATCCCACACAGGTGCACAGTCCTAAAGCTTTGGGCCGTCCGCGACTTTTCTCAGGCCACAAGCAGGGATCTGGATGGGAAGTGGAGCAGCCGGGATTAGAACTGTCGCCCATATGGGATCCCGGGGCGTTCAAGGTGAGAACTTTAGCCGCTAGGCCACGCCGCCAGGCCCTGACTATGTCTTTTTTTAAGAATTCTATGTTAAAAATGACTAATTATTCTCCCATTTACCTTCATTCAGAAAAGATTTTGGGAATTAATGCCATGTGCTGGGCCCTATGCCAGGTGCAAGGAATACAAAGAGGAGTGGACTAATGCATGCAGCTGCTGATCATCCAGGGTAGGAGCCAGCCAGAGCCTCCGCCATGTGCCACAGTAGGGTGCTGGATATGATACTTTATGTACATAGGGATCAGAGGGATTAATTTTTCCTGGGGGAGCCAGGTATAAAAAAGTTCAGAGAAGACAGATATTTTTAAAAATAAAAATTTGCTTTATTTTTAAAACAATAGCTAATTGAAGTGTTAGCCAAAATTAATTACTGATAAATTGTAAATTTCTTGGGAGATCAAAATATATCAGGGAATTTTCTGAACTTTATAGAAGGTAGAAATTTTAAATATACAATGATTAAAAACATGGCAAGAATGTGTAAAATAACCATAGTTTAAATTCAAGTTGAGTAACCAAACCATGTGAATTGCCTCAATTTTTGTTAACATTTAAGGAGAACAGGGCCCGGCGCGGTGGCGCAAGTGGTTAAAGGTCCTCGCCTTGCACGCCCGGGATCCCATATGGGCGCTGGTTCTAATCCCGGCAGCCCCGCTTCCCTTCCAGCTCCCTGCCTGTGGCCCGGGAAGGCAGTCGAGGACGGCCCAAAGCTTTGGGACCCTGCACCCGCGTGGGAGACCCGGAAGAGGCTCCTGGCTTCGGATCGGCATAGCATCGGCCTGTTGCGCTCACTTGGGGAGTGAATCATTGGACGGAAGATCTTCCTCTCTGTCTCTCCTCTCTGTATATCCGCCTTTCCAATGAAAAAATAATAAAAATAAATCTTTAAAAAAAAAAAAAAAAACCATTTAAGGAGAACAACATATGTATTTTTTTTAATAACTTAAAGATAAATGTCTATCCTTTTTGTTTGTTATTCCTTCCAGGAAGTATAACTGTTTTGTTTTTCTTTTTACTAGATTTAAACCCTTACTCATGATAGGGCAGTCTGGCACTAACTATAGTTGAGTTCATCAGAAATAGAAAATCGTGGGCCTGGCATGGTAGCCTAGTGGCTAAAGTTCTCGCCTTGCATGTGTCAGGATCCCTTATGGGCACCAGTTCTAATCCCAGTGGCTCCACTTCCCATCCAGCTCCCTGCTTGTGGCCTGGGAAAGCATCTGAGTACAGCCCAAAGCTTTGGGCCCCTGCACCCGCGTGGGAGACCAGGAAGAAATTCCTGGCTTCTGGCTTCAGATCAGTGCAGCTATGGCTATTGCAGCCACTTGGGAGTGAATCACCAGATGGAAGATCTTCCTCTCTGTCTCTCCTCCTCTGTATATCTGACTTTCCAATAAAAAAATAAATCTTAAAAAATACATAGAAAATATATCTTTTAAGCATTTAAAAATAATCACTTATGGAAAGTTCTTAGAAGCCCTAGATGAGAAAGGCAGGTCTCTACATTTTCTAATAAAACCTATGGTTTACACTGCATAATGTAATCCATTAGAATAATATTCTATAAGTGACAAATAATTTACAGGAAATTCACCTATTTAGTAATGCTTCATAAAAAATTAACATTTTTCCAGAATACTAACTTTATTAGCTTCACTATGTTAACATCTCAAGAAGAATTAACTTTGAAATACATCAACTTATGATGCCATCTATTAAACAGAAAGGAAAGGTGATACATTTTGGGTTTTACTTTAGAAGGGATTTAATTCAATGATGTGATTTGTCCCTACTTAAAAACAGAAGATGGAACTTTTGAACTGGTGTGGAGGAATGAATAGGATTTTGTCAGTGGAAAGGCAGGCACAGGCAGAAGGAGCAGCATGCAGAGAAGCACTGGCACTGCCTGACAATGCTTTTTTCTCTATGGCCTGAGGACAAGTGCAGGTGGAGGTGTGGCAGGAGACGAAGTAGGATAAATTGCTGGGGCCATGTTTGAAGAATCTGGAAGGCCATAAGGAATCTGGGCTTTTTAGGACAATTTAAAAAAAGTGAAATTATCTGTTAAATTTTTACTTGAAAGGCAGATTTACAGGGAGATGGAAAGAAGGGAAGACAGAGGGAAGGAGGGAGGGCGGAAAGTAAAAAGGCAGAGAGAGAGAGCGAGCGAGAGAGAGAGAGTTCTTCCATCTGCTGGTTGGCTCTCCAAATGGCTTCAATGCCTGAAACTGAGCCAACCCAAAGCCAAAAACCAGGAGCCTCTTCCGGGTCTCCCACATGGGTGCAGGGTCCCAAGGACTTGGGTCATCCTCCACTGGTTTCCCAGGTGACAAATAGGGAGCTGGATCAGAAGTGGAGCAGCCAGGAAATGAACCAGGGACCATATGGGATGCAGAGGTTTAGCCTTCTGTGTCATGGTGCCTGTCCCATAACTTTGACTTTCTGTCATTCACCAGAAGGAATCACTCTAAGCTTTTATGGAGAGTTCAGCACACGAAAGGGTCCCTCAGCATAGGAGCCTTGCACAGGGCTACCTGGGCAGGAGAGATGGCATACTGGGAACAAGTGTGAGTTTATGGGTGTGAGTTGCAAGAGTCTATAGTACAGATGAGGAGGGCATGAGAGAGCAGAGCAGATGGGCACAGAGAAAAGGGGACAGGCTTGCTTGTTAGAAAAGATCCAAGTTACAGGATTTGGTGACTGAAGTGGAAATGGAGTGAAAAGAGGAGCTGAAGTAACCATTAGGTTTCTCTGCGTGAAAGGAAGCTGGTCTCAGCCATTAGGGATCTCAGAAGATGAGAGACTCATCAGGAGGGCATATGAGTCTTAAGTTTGATGTGCCTAGGGCAGCATGGAGTTATAAGTGTCCAACAGCAGGTTCTGATTCTGCCATTGGAAACAGGCACAAATCAGTGGGGGAAAAAACAAGGCTCTGCTAAGTTCTGCTATTTTCTATTTATGTGGCTTTGAATAAGTCACTTTGTTTCCCTAGCTTCACCTGTAAATTCAAAGCTTTAGAGGTTTGTCAGTAGGTATGAAGCCAGATAGGAGGAAAAGGTTCTGGTATTTCATTGCATAATAGAGTGAGCATATGTAGCAATAATGCATTATATATTATTCTATATAATATTGCTATATAGAATATATCATTATCACATATGATTATATACAACATACATTATACACATAACTATTCATATATTATACACTATATAATGTATTGTTACATATTACATTGTTATATATTATATGTAATGATGTGTTACATAAAATTGTTAGAGAGGATTTAGAATGTTCTCACCACAAAGAAATGATAAATGTTTGAGGTGCCAGATATGCTCAGCATCCTGATTTTAACATGATATAATATTTACATGTATTCAAACATCACAAGGCACACATATGTATGTACAATTATTAGATATAAATTAAAATCAGATTTTAAGAATTAAAATAAAATAAGGTTTAACTGAGAAGCTGGATGCAAAGCCCAGTTCCTAGCCCATAGTAAGCACCCTCAAAAGTGGTTAGACATTATGATTTATGTGGTAGAGATTTTGGAGTCATAAAGCACTGTGATGCTTGCCCAACTCATTCTCTCTCTCTAACGGAAAGTATGGTTAGAAGCAAGCTCAAGTAGATGGGAAAAAGGAAGCTAAGGGAGGCACTCAGAGGGGAATGGCAACACATAGGGACTGGCCATACCAGATGACCCAGACAGGCCAGGTAAGAGAGAAGTGTTGAAGAGCTGGAAAGACATCCGGGTGACTTAGGGAAGGGAGGTCACAAAAGCCAAGAGGAGACCCGTACAATCAAATACTGTGACACAGATCAGATAAAGGGTGAAAGGTCTAGGGTCTGGTAACTGGTGGTCCCCTGGTGCTTGCACCAGGTGGCTGCAAAAAGTTTATGGAAAAATGAAATGACAATAATGCACATATCCCATGAACCATTAAAAAACATTTGTGGACAGCTCTGGTACAGGTTATAAAGACCACAGATGGTTGCAACTCTTGTGGTATGTGTGTGTGTGTGTGTGTGTGTTGTGTGTGCATGTATGTACTGTCAGATTCCTTCCACAGTCAGTTGGGGTGGAGTTGGGGGCTGTGATGCGGTTTGCTTTCCTTTCAGTTTGCCCTGAACTCTATTCTCTGCCTCACTCCCCTCCCTGGGATGTAACTGACCAAAGTTTAGTAGTGGGTCTTGTAGCTATGGAATCAAGCAGAACTAACAATCTCCATATAGATGGAATCTACACAAACTGACCTTGGTAAAACTCATTTTAATGGACACATTCCTATATATGGAAGAACACAGCCTTTTTTTGAATAACGTGAAAAATTCCGTCTTACCTAAAACAGTGAGGGAAACCCCTCGATAAAGGGCCAGGAACCCTTCCTGTTGATAAATAGTAGAAAAGGCATGGAGAAGCCCTTTGTAAGATGGCTCCAGCATATTCTGAACCATCAACCGGGTTTTGATGAGGTCTGTAGGATATGTCACAATGGTGGAAACCATGCCTGCGAGACTCCCAGCCACGATGGAGCTCCACTGGGAAATATGGCCTAGATCATCCATGAACAGCACGACAAACCTGGGAGAAAATAGGGATAAAGCCCAAAGGAATCAGCTGTGGACTGTGCCAGGGTGCCCTACATGACTTCTCACAACATTTTCCTAGACTGGAAGCACTTTACAAGTGAAGATTATTATAGCACTGTGTGAGGGGTCTTGAAAAAGGTCATGGAAAATATATCTTATTAGATACATATGGATTTAAAACATTTTTGCACCAAAATATACTTATCTTTTACTTCCTTTTCTCATGAACTTTTGAAGTCTCTGACACTAGTATTAATGGATAACATTTAAATGCCACTGTATTTATATCACACTAGTTGTCTATAAGGAATGGATGCCCAACCTTCATATTTTATATCTACTGTAAGACCTTCCCTTTTCACTTTGTTCCTCTCTTCTATCTGCATAAATGTCAACCTTGGTTTGCCTGTGGGGTGTAACTACACAGAAGTACTTGGTCCATGCTAAGTTGTGAGGCACTCATTTTGCTTTGAGACCTAAAAAGAATGAAATGTTTTGACATGATGATTTTGAATATTCCAGGAATTGAGTTTCAGAAATGCATTGGCCAAGGTCACTAATTATACCTCCAAGGTGACAAATACAAAGCATAACTAGATATCATTTCTCACACAGCAAATTGGCAAAGATTATAAAGCCTGATAATACTGGTTGATGGTGAGGATGTATGGAAGGAAGACTTTCCATCCACTGCTGCGAGGAATGTGAACTGGTGTGGTCACTTTGCAGTAGCTAGGAAAGTGTTAGAGACATCTACATCTATTCAAGCTATTCCATCTCTAGGTGTACACCCTGGAAAAACTACTGCATATGTACAAGGGAAACATATACAGTATTATTGGTGAGTATGACAATGTGCACAACTTTAATGTCCACTGGAAGGGGAAAGGATACATGACAGTATGATTCTGGAAAGGTTATTATGCAGTTAAAATTAATGAATCTTGGGGCTGGTATGGTGGTATAGCATGCTAACCTGCTGTCTGCAGGATCAACATCTAATATAGGTAGCAATTCATGTCCTAGCTTCTCCACTTCCCATACAGCTCCCTGTTTGTAGACTGGAATGGCAGTGGAAGATAGCCCAAAGCCTTGGCACCTCTGCACCCATGTGGGAGACCTGGAGGCTCCTGGCTTTGGATTGGCTCAGCTCTGGGTATTGCAGCCACTTGGGGAGTGAACCAATAGACAGAAAATCTTTCTCTCTGTCCCTCCTTCTCTGTAAATTTGCCTTTCAAATAAAAATAAATAAATAAACCTTTTTAAAACAATCAATGAACTAACCTATACAGCAATATAGATAAATCACAAAAATCTAGTGTTGAATAAAAAAAGAAGGTGCAGAGTGATCTACTGTGTATGATAATGTCTAATTTAGAAGTGTATTCTGTAAACTTGTATCATTAATGGGTAGACAGACATACACAGAGAGATTTAACAATAGAACCCTTGGGAAAGTAGGGAGGGGATGCAACTGGGCTTTATCTATAGTGTTTTATCTATTGTATTTTTAAAAAAGATATTTAAAGTATCTTTCTCACCAACTACCTTTATGCTGTCAAATTCTGATGTGGGTATGTGAATATTTGTTAGTCTGCTTTTACAACTTTTCCAAAAATGGCTGGGGGGGGGTATGCTTTTTAAAATGTGAAATAGAAGCCAGGCTATTGCAATCCCTCCTCTTAGAAGCAGGGCATTCTTAGTCGCAAGGGCCTACTTGGCAGAACTCATTAGAAGGGGACTATTACAGCATACACATTCATGCCAGCAAGTTTTTGCCAGCAAGTGGGGGTAAGGAGAGGAGGAGATGGATAATGATAGGTTGAATGGAGCTAGGCTAAAAGAAGAGCCTTTTATTATTTATTTATTTATTTATTTATTTATTATATTTTTTTTGGAGGGGGGGGGAATGGTAGCGTCCCCAGCCCTTTAGCTTTCAACCCTCTGGTGAAGAGGTGCATTTCCTGTTCCTCCAGCCATTAGTAGGCTAGAGTCCTATGAATGGTAAGAGTGAGAGGCTAAGTGAAGCCATTTCCAAAGGGTCCTAGGACAGCTGTTGGTGCTCCTAAACGCTTTTGGTCTAAAATATCTCCTTCAAGCAAAAGAGAATCTTGACTTCATTTTTATCAGCCTACCTCAACTTTCTCGATCGGAACAGTCATTTCAGTTAAGCAGCCACTTGGAAAAATGCAGGTAAGTAAAGCTGTCGTTCCTCAATGCCTCAGCTTACTGCATGTACACTTGCTAATTGCCTCTTCTTCTGTCCCCTGGCTAGTCACATCAAAGAACTTTCGAAGGGGCTGAGGAATGAGAGGAAGTGAACATGCTCAGCTGGGTGGAAGTAAGAGTGGGATAGTCCTCAGCAAGTTAGAAAAACCTAGAAGGTGATGTTCGAAGTGCCAAAGAAACATCATTTATTCTCTTTGCTCCACTCTTACTGCCCAATGCAATTGGCCACCTGTTTACAGAATATGTCAGACACTGTGCTAGCACTCAGCATGGCTCAAAAGTTTAACAGTCCTGATAACAGACAAGGAAATTACTGATGGGCCAACTGGATGAGAAATAGGCTCAATGAATAATTTCAACTAGGAAGATCCTTACAGCATATCAGTTTGTCTTACAAAGTAAGGTCTTACTATCAAATATCAAATATATAAAGACTAAGAGTTACAAACCTCAGCCACTCAGAATATCACAAGATATATGGTCCATGGACCCAGGGTGGTAGCCTAGTGGCTAAAGTCCTCACCTTGCATGCACAGGAATCCCATATGGGCACTGGTTCATGTCTTGACTCTCCATGTCCCATCCAGCTCCCTGCTCGTGGCCAGGGAAAGCAGTAGAGGATGGTCCAAAGCTTTGGGACCCTGCACGCCTATGGGAGACCTGAGAGAGATTCCTGGCTCCTGACTTTGGATCAGCTCAGCTCCAGCCTTTGCAGCCACTTGGGAAGTGAACCAGCGGATGGAAGATCTTTCTTTGTATCCTTTCTGTAAATCTGGCTTTCCACTAAAAATAAATAAATATTAAAAAAAAAAGGATATATGAGCCGATCTTGGAGTGCATGTATCAGGACTGGGTCTCCTCAGTTGTTGATGCCTATGCAATAGACAGCATGCCAAGTACACACAGGGGACGTGCTAGCCAGCTCATCTAGGTCATTAGAGGATATGGAGTGAATTGTCAGAGGATAGAATGCAGAACAAGTTGGACTGCTCTCCTGGCCAAGTTTTGCCAAGTAAGTGTCTGGGTCTGTGGATGCACTAAGGTGGACATGGTCAGTCAACAGACCTTGGAAATCTTTTTTCTCTACCCTGGAGCAATGAAGCCCACAACATCTCAAAACTACCAAAAGCACTTAAGTAATACTCTTGGAACATTCTTCCCCATAGTGGGATCTCTAAGGCATCATAGAATAACCATCTCCTATCCCCAGTGCTGGTGTAGTTTGACAAGGAATAGTCCCATCCATTTCCCCCTGCTTGCGGACACAGAAGAAAAAGAAAAAAAAAAAAAAAGAAAGAAAAGAAGAACTGAAACATTTGTTCCACCCGCCTTTCTCCATACCTCAAACCTCCCCAGCCTAATCAGAGGCCAACATGGACATGCATCCTTCATAACTATCTAAAGAATATTAAAAATAAAGCAAAAAAAATTATGCTAAAAAAGAAGAGTCAAATGCAATCCATTTTTTTTTTCTCAGACCCATACTATCTGATACAGAGACAACAGCAACCAGTGCTTTCCCTTAGACAAGGTAGGCCTCCTGATGGACCACCAGTGACATCATCCCAGTCTGTATCTTTTTATTTCTTTTAAGATTTATTTGTTTGAAAGGCAGAATGACAGAAGCATGGAGAAAAATAGAGAGCTCTTCCATCTGATGGTTCACTCCTCAAATGCTGCAACAGCTGGGGCTGCTGAATGTGGCACAGTAGCTCAACTAGCTAATCCTTTACCTCCAACTGGGTGCTGGTTCATGTCCCGGCTGCTCTTTTCATCCAGCTCCTTGCTTGTGGCCTGGGAAAGCAGCAGAAGATGCCTCAAAGCTTTGGAACCCTGCACTCACGTGGGAGACCCAGAAGAATCTCCTGCCTCCTGGCTGGATGGGCTCAGCTTCAGCCGTTACAGTCACTTGGGGAGTGAACCAGTAGATGGAAGATCTTTCTGTCTCTTTTTCTTTCTACCTTTCCAATAAAGATAAATCAATCTTTAAAAATATCAACCAAACAAACAACCGAACCTCAAACCAAACCAAACCAAACCAGATGGCAGACCAGGCTCAAGCCAGGAACCTGGAACTCCATTTGAGTCTTCCTTGTGAATTAGGGGTCCAAAGACTTAAGTCATCTTCCACTGCTCTTTTAGGCACATTAGCAAGGAGATGGATCAGAAGGGAAGCGGCCAGTACTCTAACTGGTATCCATATGGAATACCAGTGTCATAGGCTGTAGTTTAACCTACTGTGCCACTATGCCCATTTCATGGTATCTGTCTCCTAAACTCCTGTCTGATGGGGTGAAGCAGTAGCGTTTCCATGCCTGCTCTTTATCACCCCCATTCACACATGCTCAGAGCCTTTTCCAGGTGGAGGGGATGAGCTACACTTCCTTTCAATCAGTGCAGATATAACAAACACCTTGGGTATATGTGATCAGAACTGTCAACACATCAGCCTAACATGGGCTGGCAGCCTATAAAGCTAAACATAAACTCATGAAGGCTATGCAATAGAGAAATTATGTTGATTACAAACTATTTTAGTGCTCTGTGAACCCAAAGCAAGTTTACACGGAGAGACAAGGGATCAGTTGCAGAACAAAGCCAGGGTGAGGGAGGTGCATTTCTTCTTTTTGATGCATTTGAAAGCCACTTGTTGTGTAGGTAATATTTGTTATAAGATTCCAGCTTCCCTTACTTTGAGTATCTCCCTCTCTCTCTCTGTAGTTCTGTCTTCCAAATAAATAATTTTTTTTAAAGATCTTAGCTTCCCAGTAGAGTATTGAATATATTCTTGATCATGAGTCCAGGGGTGCAGTGGTGGAGAGTTTAGAACTAAGAAATCAGGAGACCTGGATTCAAGTTCCAGGTCTGCCATTAATTGTGTTTCTGATTATTTAGTTATTTATTTATTCATTTTTAAGATTTATGTTTTTATTTGAAAGGCAGGGTTTTGGAAAGCAGAGGGAGAGAGAGAGAGATCTTGCATCTATTGGTTCACTCCCCAAATGTTTGCAAAGGCTGGAGCTGAGCCCATTGAAAGCCAGGAGCCTGGAGCTTCTTCTGGGTCTCCCACACGAGTACAAGGGCCTAAGGATTTGGGCCATCCTCCACTGCTTTCCCAGGCCATAAGCGGGGAGCCTAGGAGGTGTCCATATGGGATGCTGGCGCCATAGGTGGAGGCTTAGCCTACTACAGCACTTAGCCACCTCCATGAATGATGCATTTAACCACTCAGTTGCCTGATCATGTGGAATGTTTATTCTGTGTTCAAACTCAAGATCAAATGCTGTATAAGTGCCTAGAGTTAAGTTGAAAATTCAGGGTCAGGCAAAAGTAAAAATTAGCCAGTATGATGCACCAAGAGTATTATGTTTATGTCAGAAAGAAAGCATTATGCTGAATTGACCACGTTGCTTCCTAAGTATGCTTTGCCATTCACTGAAATACTTCCTTTATGTTTCCTGAGAGAAAAAAAAATCCTGCAGGAAAACAATTTATTAGCAAACCTAGCTGAGGTCACTTTCAGGTTTTTCTCTCCCACACAGCTCCTCTTCTCTGCTTCCACTGTCATCAGTCTATTTCAAGTACCCTCTGTTGCCACGTGAACTAGTGCAACAGGTTCCTAACTAGTCTTACCACCCCCAATCTTCCTTCTCTCTAGTCATTCTAATGTGCCATCATTGAAACTAATTGCTTTAATCACAGCACTGCCATGCCCTGTTAGCAAAAAACAAAACAAAACAAAAACAAAAAAACCCCACCCCCCCCAAAAAAAACCCCACAAAACAAAAATCCTACCACAGCTATCCTGGCATATCAAGTCAAGTCTAAATTCCTTAAGCTCACTCTCCAAGCTCTGATTGCAACCTGCTTTTCTGCCTGCATTTCCAGTCATGCCACATGTGTTTCTCACCTCTGTGCCATCTCTGACACTGCCAGTAATATCTTTGTTCCTCATATTTGCCTAAGGTCAAACTGATGTTCCTCCCACCTCCCTCCTCTGTGACATCTGCACACTTCTTCCTCATCAGAAATATAAACTGCCACAGCATGCTATCCAAGGCAAACAAGGTAACACAGCTTTACTCTCGTTGACAAGCTAGTTTTATTATCCTATTACCCTGTAAACTCCTGGGCCACTTTCATACCTGCACTGTCTGCAGCATCACACATGGTGAGTACTTCCTGTAGCCTAATGCAATTCACACCAAATGAAGACAGAGAGGAAGGCTAAGTGATGCAATAGAAAAAGTATGAGTTTTGGTGTCCAGGCTAGGTGATGGAATTCAGCTCTGTTAGTATGGTGTGAGACATCTGAGCTCAATTCTGCATCTGTAAAATGGGTATTAGGCTTTCTTTGCTATGGATCTTACAGCACAGCAGGCAGAGCTGTGAATATCAAATGATGTGTGCATGCCAGCAAAATAGCCACTTCAACCACAAGCCTTGTAAGGTTCTTCCCCGAGCCTCATCCACCTCAGTTTGTGGAGCATACTGGGAAGTGGGGAAACATTCAATTATTCCCACTCAGAGGACAACTATTGACGGACAGTGGGACAGATGCTGTAGAGGGAAAGGAGGGCTGGTGAGGGAAGACAGGCTTGTCACAAATGCCACAGGATCCTACCCATGAGCCTCTTGGCAGAGGCACATCAGGGATTCTGCTGCCAGGCAGAGGCAGCGTGAAGGCTGACTTAGAGCATTGGTGATTTGGGTGATCCCTTCCAGCTTGTTGGTGGTGGCTGGGAGGCCCTTTCGCCTCTGGTCTTTTTCAAGGGACAACGCCAAAGCAAAAGTCTTTGAGTGTTAGCCACCAAGGCTGAGCTCTGCGGTCAAGACAGACTGGCTCTCCCAGTTCCTGTAAGCTGTTTGTCTAATTCAGAGCCAAGGCCCTTGAGTAATGAACATAGGGATCATCCTCCCCCTACCCCTGCCCTACAAGACACCTCCTGTTTCTGGATTGCAGTCACCAGCCTTTCCCTGTCCAGGGAATGTTTCTGGCACACATGCATGGGTCTTTGTTCCGTAGGAGCAGCTGTGAAGTAAGCATGGGAAATGTAGGAAAAGGTCACAGATGAGGCCAGTGGGCCAGTGGGCCGTTGGGGGGTGAGTGCGTGCAGTGGGCTAAAGGGACATTGCAGCTTAGGGAGGGGAGACTGCAGTCCCTGGCCGCATCCTCCAGTTAAGCTTCTTTCAAGCTGGGAGGTTGAGTGGGTAGAAATGGGTGGCCCCTCTGTGGTAATAAAAATTTATTGTTATTGGAAAGGCAGATTTACAGAGAGAGAGAGAGAACCGATCCCAAGCCAAGAGCCAGGAGCTTCCTCTGAGTCTCTCACATGGGTTCAGGGGTCCAAGGACTTGAGCCATCCTCCACTGCTTTTCCATGCCATTAGCAAGGAGCTGGATAGGAAGTGGAGCAGTTGAGATTAGAACCAGTGCCCACATGGGATGCCGGTATTACAAGGCAGATTAGCTTGGGGAGTGCTAGTGCTGGCCCTTCTCTGTGCTCAAAAGCCTTGGGCCTCTCTCCTTAGCAAGTACTGCCTTCTTGGGGTGTTGGTAATAATACAGACACAGTTACACACATATATACAACCTTTAAAATGCTGTCTTTCCACCTAAGCCTGCCAAACCAACATTTCGCACATTGTGGGATGGAGGGGATGGTCCAGAGTCATCCCTCTGGAGAACGGGTCCTCAAATCTCCACTCGTTCCATTCCACCTCCTTGCCCTGTCAATTTAAGCAAATCTCTTTGGGCGATGGTGCGTGCTATAAAACCGAGGCTTTCAGGGTACAAATCTCAAAAGGCAACAGAAAAAAAAAAAAAAAAACCAGGGGCATTGTGCTTTGGGGTCCTTAGATAGGTGACCTCTGGCCCACGTGACCCGGAAGGGCCCGCCCACCACTGGGCCCCGTCGGCGCAGGCTTGCAGCGGCCTCCCGGCTTCCCAATTCCCCGGCTCTGTCCGCGCCACCCGGCTCTTACTTGCGGTAGGCGGCGAGCTGCACGACGCTACAGGGGAAGAGGCGCAGACACGCCACCGCGTTCCCCTTCCACAGGGCCCGGGGCCCCTCGGCCCTCCACACCCGGCGCCCTGTGGCCCACGGCCCCCGGGCGCGGCCTCGCGCCACGCCGCCGACCTGGGCCAGCACGGTGGCGAGCTCCAGGGGCGCGGTGAGGCTGAGGCTGAGCGCGCCCGCCAGGCCGGCGCAGAGCAGCCGCTGGCTGCCGGTTAGCCGACCGTCCCGCCTCCACGTCGCCATCCAGCCTCGTCCCGGCCCGGGATACAGCGCGTGGCTCGGGCCCCAGCCTCTGTGGCCATAGGCGGCGAGGGCGGGCCAGGCCCCGCCCGGCGTGGGGCGGACCCGCGGGGCGGGACTGGAAGCCCGGTTCCTGCCCGAGCTGGGCCGCAAGGCTGAAGGTGAGGTCGGGGACCCAGACCACGCAAGCTCTGCTCCTCAGCCACCCACTTTGAGTTGGGAAATAGTCGCCATGTTCTTCCCAGGCCCAGCCTGGCTGAACTTAGTTCTAGGTATTCAGCATTCCCACGCCACCTTCTCGTTTGCTCTCTTGGGTCCCTTCCCACAGTGCACCTCGCCGTCTTCCTTCAGTCTGTTTTACGTGTTCAAGGAAAAAAAAAATCTTGAAGCTTTCTCAATGCAGAAAAGGAAATCTTAACAACTACAGCTGCCACCTCTTGCATGCTTGTCAAATGCAAGGCCTTTCCTATGTTGTCCGAGGTAAGCCTGGAAACAGTTGGGCATATCCTTACTTGGAGAAGCTGAAGGTATGGATGCCACAACTGGATTCTGGAGCCTGCTTTAGAATCTTGGTCCTACAGTTCATCAGCTGTGTGATCTTTGGGAAGTCACTTAACCTCTCTGTGCCCTCAGATAGTTTCTTGCTACTAGGACTAGATATTAAGGAGTACATGAATAAGACTGGTAGAGATAAGCAGGATGTATGTATTATGATTAGACAATATTTATAGAAGAAGCCAGGATACAGATATTGGCTTGCTGGAGATTGCACAGCTGCCATAAGACTGAATCAGAATCCACATGTAGGTTGGGTTTATGCCAACTTCCACTACAGGTTACACTCAGTGTCCTCTGGGCCTGTAAGGGAATATAACTCCAGTGCAGGCACCCAAGTGCTTGTCTTAGCTGGGAGGACAACAGACAAAAGTAACTTGACCAGAATCAAGGCTTTTTAAAATCAGATTCTGGGGGGACTGGCACAAGAGCTCACTGGCTAAAACTCCACCTCCAAGTGCTGATTCTCATTCCTGCTGCTCCACATCCTATCCAGCTCCCTTCTTGAGGCTTCGGAAAGCAAACAACAGCCCAAAGCCTTGGGTCTCTGCACCTGTGTGAGAGACCCGGAAGAAGCTCCTGGCCCTTGGCTTCAGATCAGCTCAGCTCTGGCCTTTGCAGCCATTTGTGGAGTGAACCAGCAGATGGAAGATCCTTCTCTCTCCATCTCTCCTTATCTCTACAAATATAACTTTGCAATAGAAGTAAATAAATCATTTTTAAAAGGTAAGGTTTTTTAAAAAGTTTTTATTTATTTGAAAAAGAGAGACCCAGAGAGTGAGATTTTCCCATCTACTGGTTCAGTTCCTGGATGGCTGCGATGACCAGGGCTTGGTCATACTGAAGCCAGGAGCTTCATCAGGGTCTCCTGTATGGCTGACCCGAGCCCAAACACGCAGCTAATTCTCCACTGCTTTCCTCAGTCAGAGAGCCGGATCAGAAATGGAACAGCTCACCATGAACTGTACCTGTATGGGATGCTGGTGTCATAGGCAGTGGCTTTAACTCTTGTGCAACATGTTGGCCCCTAAGAAGATTTAAAAAAATTGTATTTCTTCATCTTTTTAAGTTTTATTTCTTTTTATTTACAGAGAGAAGGAGAGACGGAAATATTTTCCATCCACTGGCTAACTCCCCAAGTGGCCACAATGGCCAGAACTAAGCTGATCCAAATCCAGGAGCCAGGAGCTTCTCTTCCAGGTCTCCCATGCGGGTGCAGGGTTCCAAGGTTTGGTTGGTCCACGATTGCTTTCCCAGGCCACAAGCAAGGAGCTGGATGGGAAGCAGGGCCGCTGGGGTACGAACTGGTGCCCACATGGAATCCTGGTTCATGCAAGGTGAGGACTTTAACCACTGGATTACCACTCCGGGCTTTCACTTTTTTTTTAAGCTATATACTTTGCTTCAAACTCAGTATTATGGGGAGAGAGAGAGATCTTTCATTGATGGATTCACTTCCCAAATGACTGCAACAGTCAGAGCTGGGCTGGTCTGAAGCCAGGAGCTAGTACCTTTTTCTGGGTCATGCAAATGGGTGCAGGGATCCAAGACCTTGAGCCATTCTGCTTTTCCAGACCATTAACAGGGAGCAGGGTCAAAAGTGGAGCAGCTGGGACTATAGTCAGTGCCCATGTGGGCTGCTGGCGCCAGAGGCTGAGGATTAGTTTACTGTGCCCTTAAAACATTTTTGTCCCATAATTGTAAACTTAATAATTATAAACTTAAACACTTTTTGTCCCATAATAATTGTACATATTCGGATATGGTGTGATATTTTGACACTTTTATGGAATGGACAGCTTAGTGTGCTAAACATACCCGCTGTGTCAAACATTTACAGTCATGTATTATACATTTCAGATCAGCTGGAAAAAGGGCTTTTGAATGGATCCAACACAGAGGAATGAAGGAGCCTTGTGAAAAGGCGTTGCAGGCTTTTGATTGGAAGGACTTGTTCTGAGGGCAGAAACCTTGTTCTGCCCTCAGCAGCAGAGGAATGCTGAATCTTCGTGTTTTGTGAGTGCTCCTTTTTTTTTCCCCCTGAAAGCTCATACCCTGGTTGTGGGCTGTTGGGTAAAGTATGGCTCTGAAGATGAGACCTGAAAGGGGTTTTAAGTGAAGTTTGGGAGTGACAGTAAGGAAACCTCTACAGGTTCCAATGTTGTGCTAAAGAACCCTGCTGGGCTGGATCCTACAGCTCCTTGTGGGAACCCCACACTGGGGGTTGAAAACAATTAATGATCACCCTATTAACTGCACATGGGGTCAACTGAGCAGTGTTATTTTGTTTTGCTTTAAGGCAACCTGTATGAACACTTCAACTGTAGCACCTAGGAAACCAGACACACCATTTGCTCCAGCCCTGATGTTCTTTGGTCTTCAGCAGAAGGAAGATTTTCATGTGAACCAGAGGTGAGGCAGAACCCTGTTAGTCTTCTTACCTGTTACCCAAAGGAGAAGGTGTACTTATGGCCTATTTTAACCCTGAAAGTGAAACATGTATGTTTTCCACTGCAGGTAAATTGAAGGGCAAAATGATTAATAGCCAAGTATGCACCCGATGGCTTTTGTCTTTACAAGGTAAGGTGTTAAGAAAGTATGCTTATAATGGCTCAGCAAGGATTGCATGCTTTTGCTAAATGTTGGGCACACAATATACCCATTTTATTATTTTTTAGTTTTAAAAGATACTTGTTTTTATTTATTAATATTTATTTATTTTCATTGCAAAGTCAGATTTAGAGACAGAAAGAGAGACAGAGAGAAAGCTTCTCTATCTACTGGCTCACTCCCCGAGTGGCCAAAACAGCCGGAACTGGACCGATCTGAGGCCAGGATCTAGGAGCTTCTTCTGGGTCTCCTGCATGGGTGCAGGGTCTCAAGGCTTTGGGCTATGCTCTACTGCTTTCTCAGGCCATAAGCAGGGAGCTGAAAGGGAAGTAGAGCCACCTGGATATAAACTGGTGCCCATATGGGATCCTGGCACATGCAAGGCAAAGACTTTTATCCAGTAGGGTACCATGATGGGCCCTATATACCCATTTTAAATATAAACCCTTCAGAATATCCTATGTTTGGATTATGACTCATTGACTCGAATTTCACTGTCGTTTTTGTATAATTGCCGAAAAGGCTGAAGAATATCATTGGTTAAACATCTTTAACTTTGGCAAATGTACATGACAGAAGATTGGGATACTGTGCTAAAAATTAAAATGTGGGGGCCAGTGTGTTGGCAGAAGAAGCTAATCCTCTGTATCTAAGTTGCAGATTTCTATTTGGGTGCCTGTTGGTGTCCCGGCAGCTCCGCTTCCCATCCAGCTCCCTGCTTGTGGCCTGGGAAAGCAGTAGAGTATGGTCCAAAGCCTTGGTACCCTGCACCCGAGTGGAAGTCCCAGAAGAAGCTCCTGGCTCCTGACTTTAGATTGGCTCAGCTCTGGCCATTGTGGCCATTTGAACCAAGGATGAAAAACCTTTCTCTGTCTGTTTCTCTCTGTAAATCTGCCTGTCCAATAAAAATAATCTTTAAAAAATGTATTAACTAATCAGTGACACGATTAAAAAGTTAATGCATGATATTGGAGATAAAAAAGGAAAGAGCCAGTAAGAAAACATTAGTAGTGATATATGGAGAGGTGATTAGCTTGATTCAAGGAGTAGGCAGTATCTCACTGGGAGATGCTAACAGGCCTCCGAAATACTTAACAGGTTTTATTTTCAAGATGGTTTGATCTCTTCTTCCTCCGTTCCTCCGTTCCTCCCTTCCTCCCTTTCTCCCTTCCTCCCTCCCTCCCTCCCTTCCTTCCTCCCTCCCTCCCTTCCTTTTTGTCTGAAAGACCGATCTTGTATCTACTGGTTCACTCTGCAAATGATCACAACAGCCAGACCTGTGCCATGGTGAACTCAGGAACCAGGAATTCCTTTGCCAAGACTTGAACCTGAATGAGATTCTGATGTGGGAAATGGCAGACAGCTTAACCTGCTCTGTACAACACTGGCCCTGAGTATGTATAATGCTCTATTTCTCATGCTCAGTTTCTCTTGTCACTAACTGAAGTCTTCTGACAGCACATCACCTTAGTGTAGCTTGTGGCTGTTTCCTAGATTATAGCTTAGCTTGATATGCCTATATCGAATGATTCCTTCTCTGCTGTTTTTTTTTTTTTTGTTTGTTTGTTTTATTCTTGACTCTCATGGGATTTGATAAATTGCAAAAACAGTATACACTTGATATACAAACAAATAGAACAGATGTATAGTGAAGAAAGTTAATACCCCCGCTTATGCTCCAAGGTAACTTCAGTTAAAAACTTGGTGTGTGTGTGTGTGTGTGTGTGTGTGTGTGTGTGTGTGTGTGCATCATTCCTCACATTTTGTTTCATGCTCAGACAAATCACTATGCATTTATTTGGATTTTTTCCCCCTTCTGCTTCCCTCCCCCTCCTCTCTTACCTCATCCCTCCTCTTTCCTTTTTTGCCTCACTCGCTCTTTCCCCCCTCCTTTTCCACCTTTAAAATAAAAATGAAATCATTTTTTACTGAAAGAATTATCAATGAAACTGACAATCTGGTTGTCTTAGGATAGGGAAGCTGGGAGACTCGGGAACAGAGGTAGAAAGGAGGTTGAATTTTAACTGTGTGCCCTCTTGTGCTATTCCTTTTTTTTTTCTCTTTTCTTTTTCTATGGGCATGTATTATCAGTGAAAGAAATCCCTCTCTCCCTTTGTCTCTGAAGTGTTCCATCAAGTGCAGTGTTTTTTATGACCTTGCTTTGCCATTAGTGAAGTGTTTTTTTTTCCAAAATAGAAAGCAACTCTTGATGGAATTATAAATGGAACAAAATTCAATATTCTGTGTATTGATATGTTGCTTGTATTCCTGGAAAGTGCCATGTACCTCAACACTACGCAAAAATGCCTATCTTTTAGGAATAACGCAGAGTTAGTTTATTGACTCAGATCATTGTGAGCAGATTTTTATTTTTGTAATTATTTTAATTATCTTTATATAGTTGATTAGGGCACAAAGGGTCAAGGGCTACAGGAAAGCGGGTAAGGCTATTGTTTCCAAATTATTATTATTTTTTCTGTATCTGGGGTGAGGGGGCAGTTGTGCATTAAATATGCAGAAACCCTGGATTTTGTCCATTGAATGTTACTAGAGTACTCCAATACTTGTGCCCCTCCCCACTAATATCCAATATTCCTGTGGAGATTCACTCTAAAGATTTCCTTCCTGTTTGGAATGTTCTTTTCCCAAATGTTTGCAGAGTTGATTCCTTTTTATTACTAGAGTTCAGCTTAGATGTTATCTCCTCTGCCAAGCCTTATCTGTACACTACCACTGTCCCATTCACTCTACCACTGTGCTTCATTTTAATTTTTTGCATTTATTTCTTCCCCCCACTTTTTAAAAATTTATTTGTTTTTATTGGAAAGGCAGATTTTTCATGGAGAGAAGGAGAGATAAAGATCTTCTATCAGCTAATTCATTCCCCAAGTGACTGCAGTGGCCAGAGCTGAGCTGACCCGAAATTGGGAGCCAGGAACTTCTTCCTGGTCTCCCACATGGGTACAGGGCTGCAGGCTTTGGGCTGTCCTCCAGTTTTCCCAGGCCTCAAGCAGGGAGCTGGATGGGAAGCAGGGCTGCTGGGACACTGAACCAGTGCCCATATGGGATGCTGGTGCTTGCAAGGTGAGGATTTAGCCATTGAGCCATCATGCCAGGCCTTTTGCACTTATTTCTACCCTCTATTTTTATGTTGTGTGTGTGTGTGTGTGTGTGTGTGTGTGTGTGTGTGTTTAAAGATTTATTTACTTGGTTGTTGGCTTGATGGTGTTGCCAGCTATCATCTGCCTGTGGTACCAGCATCCTATATGGGTGCTGGTTCTAGTTCTGATTTCTCCATTTCTGATCCTGCTCTGTCCTTATAGCCTGGGAAAGTAATAGAGGATGGCTCAACCCATGTGGGAGATCCCAAGGAGGCTTCTAGCTTCCAGCTTTGGACAGGTCCGGCTCTGGCCTTTGAGGCTGTCTGGAGAAATAATCAGCAGGTGGAAGATCCCTCTCTGTCTCTCTTTCTCTTTGTAATACTTTCAAATAAAATAAATATATATTTTTAAAAAGATACACACACATATATGATTTCGATATTTTTGTACCTAAATAAGCTGTTTTTAAAATTCTGTTCTTCATTAACATTTTGTCTTCTTGCTTTCTTTTTTTTTTCTGTAGAATTTATCACCATTAGGTATACTATATTTTTTCCTTTAAAATCTGTTTCTTTTAGCCCACTGGAATATGAGTTCCATGAAGGCAGAGTTTTATCTGTTTGCAATCCTTCTGCATTTCTGGCACTTAGAACAGTAATTACTCAGGAAACATTTGTTAAATATATGAATGAGTGATCCAACTCATAATATGTGAATCAGAATTATTAATTGAGGTGAGAAATACAACTGCTGAAAAAAACTGAGTACTAACATTCTATATTCAGGATAATATCTTCATTTTGGGATTTCTTTTTTTTTTTAAGGGTTATTTATTTGAAAGAGTTACAGAGAAAGGGAGAGGACGAGATAGAGATCTTCCATTTGCTGGTTCATTTTCCCAATGGCCACAGCATCTGGTTGGAGCAGATGGAAGCCAAAAGACAGAACCTGGTTACAGGTCTCCCCCATGGGTTCAGGGACCAGAGAACTTGGGCCACCATCCTCTGCTTTCGCAGGTGAATTAGCAGGGAGCCAGACTGAAAGTGGAGCAGTGGGGTTTGAACCAGTATCCATATGGGATGCCAGCACCGCAGGTGTCAGCTTTACCTACTATGCCACAGAACTGACCCCAAGGGGATTCTTAAAGCTTGAGCATATTACAAATTAATTTAAAGTTAGTGTAGAACTTAGAGCCAGAGCAAAGGAAATATCAGAATACGATAGTCGTTCCCCTCATCTTTGGTCTTAGTTTTTGTGGTTTCATTTACCTGTGGTTTGAAAGTATTAAATGGAGCACTCTGGAAGTAAGCACATTTGTAAGTTTTAAGTTGTGTATTGAGCACTATAAAATCTCACACTGTCCTACCAGATCCTGATTTGCACATAAATTATATCTTTGCCAGCATATCCATACTGCGTACACATGCTGTCTATTTGTTAGCCATTTAATAGACATCTTGGTTATCAGATCATAGTGCCCATGTTCAACCCTTATGTGGCAACCTAACATTGCATGTCATTTGCTTCAGTTTATCTCATCACATAGTCATTGTGTCATCTCATATCACAAGAAGTTTGAGCAGAGTGTAAGATACTTTAGATGACACAGAGAGGGATCACACTGCTTTTTTTTCTATAGTGTATTGTTACAATTGTTCTATTTTATTATTATTGTTATAATCTTTCACTGTGATTGGTCTATAAACTTAAGTTTATCATAGGAATGTCTGTGTTATATCTGTCGGCTTCAGTACCATTTGTAGTTTCAGGTATCCACTGAGGGTCTTGGAACAGACTGTTGTACTCTTTATAGGTAATACTATCAAGCCATTTTCAGTTTAGGGTTATGCCTTTAACTGGGAAGATACT